TGGTAAGAAAAAAATGTTCAAAAACACTGGGCTAGAGCACTCTTAACTGCACTGACATCCATGGCCAAAAAAATACCCATTGCACTGTTTTGTTCTCTAACAACTCAGAATAGGTGTATATTTATGTACTTTATTTATAAACATGTTTAGGCAGTGCCTTGGCACTAAACATGGTATGCTATAGATCTGAAAATTGACCAGAGATTGGCTTGTCATTTAGTGGATTGGACAATCAATTTAGTAGGCTGTGACCAGCATTCTTTAAATCTAATGAAACAGATCAGAATAGAATAAAGAGTGTCAGAGTGTGTCACATGTAATATGGGTAAGTGTATGTGTGTGGTATATATTTGGGTCATGACATAAAATGTGTTATTGTGGTTTGTGGTAAGAAAAAAATGTTCAAAAACACTGGGCTAGAGCACTCTTAACTGCACTGACATCCATGGCCAAAAAAATACCCATTGCACTGTTTTGTTCTCTAACAACTCAGAATAGGTGTATATTTATGTACTTTATTTATAAACATGTTTATGCAGTGCCTTGGCACTAAACATGGTATGCTATAGATCTGAAAATTGACCAGAGATTGGCTTGAGTTCTCCATTTGGGGAATCTGGCAGGTGGGTGGTAGTCAAAGCTTCAGGAAGCTGCCGCACGTGCTGGGGAGGGTCTGTGAATGAGCAGGAAAGGTAGAACCTGGGAACCACCTATCTTTAAGGCAGGGATGTAGGAAAACCATCGCTATAGACAAAGAGGTGGGGAGAAAACCTGGAGGGTGTTGGCATTGGAGCCAAAAGTGAAGAGAGTTTGAAAAGCAGGGAGAGGTTCAAGATTGTCAAATGTGGCAGGAGGCCAAGTTAGATAAGCACTGAGAAGTACAGGTGGGCTTGAGCAACATTGAATTGGCTGGTGACCTCAGTGAGGCCGGCTTCCGTCAAGGGGTGGCAGCCGAACTGCAGAGGGCTGAGTGATGAGAGGGGAGGGCACGGAGATGTGGGCAAAGGGACAACGCTTCCAAAATGTTTGGCAGTAAAAGGGGGGAGGACAAGGGGCCATTGGCTAGAAGAGAGGAGAACTTGCTCCTCTAGAAACAGGTTTGAACCTAGCTGGTTACAGAGAGAGACACAATATTCCACAAGTCGTGTTCACTGAAATGGCAGGGATATTTAACCTTTGTTAAAGGAGATGAGATAAAGCCATGGAAACCCATTTTCCCCCTAGCTTTTATCATGTCTGAACAGTCAGGGAATTTCTCTTAATTGCTGAGGCAAAATTTTAGACTTTTGACAATGACTGTTGTTGCTCTGGTAATTTTTGCAAGTAAAGCCTAGGTTTATTTTGGAATTATAATTCCAAACTATAAAGCCTTTGATACAATCAAAGGTCCAGAACTTTAAGGAGAAAAAAAGAGGGTGCAAGTGTAGCCAAAAGAAAAACTACATTAATATACTGTGAACAACATTGTTGTTTTCATTCTATAAAGAGCAATGAAATTAACAGTATTCTGAAAACTGCAAATGCGGTGGGTAATGATAGATTCCCAATGGAGACATTCGATTTCTTCTACATTTATGAAAAAAAAAAAGACTTAAAATTATTTCTGATTTGTCTTTTTGCTTTATCAAATCTCTGAGATAATTTGGATACAGGCACCTTATCACAGGCATTTATTACTCAAGATAAGAATATTGTGTTCAGGTTTATGAGCCTTGGGCTGTAATCATAACATTCTCAAGGTAGATTACCAGATGTTGCATAATTATTGTGACATTTAGTCTCTAAGGCGTAAGGAAATTTGAATTTGAGTATAAACATTCGTATTTAATTGTTTCCCTGAGGGTAAAGAAAGCCCGGGACCCCTGATTAAGTCATCTTGTCTAACAACCTTTGGGCATAAAGATCATACTCAGAGATAAAGGATCTACATAACTGCTAAAAAAAAAAAAAAAAAAGAAGAAGAAAAGAAAAAAAACCCCAAACCAAACCAAAACAAAAAACCTATCCCCAAATCAGGGAGCAAGTAAAAAATGTCCAAGTAAAGCAAGCACAAAGCTATGAAGAAAAAGATATTAACAAATAAAACTTCTTTAGGCTGTGTTCACAGCAAGGAGTAATTTTGCCTTAAGGTGAAGCTCATCCCTTGCATTCTAGAGAATTCCCAGATCATTCAATTTACTAAAAATTATTCATTATTTTTGTTTAACCAGAATTTTTAAAAACTTGCCTAAATGGGTTACAAATAAAAGCATTTGTCTTGAACAAATATATATATCGGTCTGGTAGATAAGAATTATCGTTAGTTTTGCTGAATTTAAATAGTTCTACATAATGGGTCTCTGGCTTAGGAGTAATTCTATATTTCCAAACATTTTGTCTTCAATTTTTGAAATCTGCAAAAGCAGTATTTCTACTGTCTGTCAAGACTTGAACATTGAGTTTTAGTTATCCAAAGATGAAATGAGGTATGTCTGTTGGGGGCAGGGAGGGGGTTATGGAATTCACTTCAAATATAAATTACATCCTGGGTGGAGCAAGTGGATCTATAGAAAGAACTCTTGATGTTGCTTCAACTTCTACTTGCAAGTCAAGGTGACTCATTTGGATATCTGAAGGCCAAAACATACCCATGGAAACAGACTCACTGGCTATTTTTCTACAAGTTAAGATGCCTAAAACCCATGTCTCCTAGTACCTGTCATTTTTGAAGTTGTAAGTGAAAGCTGAATTTTGAGCATAAAGGAGAAAGCATCCTATGCAGTGAGAAAAAATTAACACAAGAATTTTTCAGAAAGAATGTAGCAAATTTTTATAAATTCTTTGAAGTTATTCTTGAATAACTGAATTCATTGTCCAAAGACTCCATGTAAGAAGTTGGAATTTCCCACTCTTTGCCATACTGCAGGATCACAGGCACAATCTTCAAAACCATCGGTATTGCTGGGTCCCAGAGCCAGAAAGAGGCAGAGACTTCGTATAGTTTCTCCTTTGTTAACTAAAATTTTAGCTGTTTTTGTTTTGATTGAAATTCTCCTGGCCAGTGCAGTTGGTTAATGCTGGCGCTAGCCAACTTGGCTAGGTGCCAGATGTCTGGAGAGAAAGCTTATTCTGTGAGCGGAGACACTGTGGTTGGTCACTGCCCTCCCACCTCTTCCTCCTTGCAGACAGAGTCCCATTCTATTGAGGCACTCACCCTCTTGGCTACAAGTTTAGGGTTTTAAACGATCTCCCCTACCAGGCAGATGGGGCCTGAGGTGATGTGTAGAAAGGTCATCAGTCCCTAGGGGCCAATCGTGGTAATTCCATCTCCGTTGTCCCTGATAGGTCTGCTGAAAAACCCACCTTTTTAGACAGACAGCTGGGCTCTTCTGTTGGGGGGCAGAGATCTTTTTGCCTTGACCCCTTGCTAATTATGACAGGAGTCTAAGGCCAACATGGGCCGCTCTATCCCTCCCTGGATCTTTCCCTTTCACACTTCAAGACCTGACCTGTCCTAATGACAAGCCTCAGTCGTGGAATACTTGGGGAAAATCCCTACTCAGGCTCTTGCCAGAAAACCCCAAACTCAGGGAACAAAGGCCATCACAAACCTGAGCAGAGCAGGCCTGCCAATCAGTAGTTAACTGCAGAGCCAAAAAACCCAGAGGAAAGCTGCTGGTTACTTCTCCTATTTTCGGTGTCTTTATAGCTGTCAGTTTAGAATCTGACACAGATTCCTCCAAACCATAGAAAGAGTTCAGAGCAAACTGACTTTGTTATCTATTTTATTTCTGAGAAACTTCTTTAAGTAGCTGCCAGTAATCTTTACCAGCTTTTTAAAAAAACCATTCATAGAAACTACTTACTTGTATTTGAATATCTTTGTGGTTTCTTTCAGTTGCCTGAACAGAAAATGTATTGTTATGTACAGCAGAAATATGTTAGTGTTTTATATATAAATTTACACACATACATGCAGTTTTCTGTTTATAACTTCCCTCCCCATCTCTTTGCCCTAAACCTTATAATAAACTCATTCATTTATAACTCTACTTGGCTGCAGGATGTTTTTAAAGTACAATTAGTCAATGCATTGCTTTCCCGGGTAAAAAAAAAGAAGTCGTTTGGAAATGGTATTGAGGGAGAGGAAAGCTGGCTGTGCGGGGAATGCAAACCTAGAGATGTGAAACCAGTAAACCACCACTGACTTAGAGAAATGTTTACTGTCTGGAGGTCCCCAGCCCCTTAGCCAGAGCGCTGATAAGCCTTCTGCCCTTTAGACAGAAACGTATCTCAATGCTCTGCCTGTGATTGAACAAACGCTTGGTAAGGAAGAAAAACTGGTCTGAAAACGATTTCTCAGGCACGGTGACTGCCTGATTGCACAAACACCGCCTCGTCAATTTTTCTCACAATCCGAGAGAGGAAGTGGCACCATCGTGGCATGAATAGGAATGTGTGTGTCGAGCCGCGGGGTGGGGCCGGGAGCAGAGGAGGCTCTTCCCTGCCAGCCGAGGAGACAGTGGGGCGAGGAGACAGTGGGGCGAGGAGCCTGCGGCGCGGGCCCTGCCCACGTCCCCTTCGCGACGGTCCCCTGCCCGGGGAAGCGCGGGGCGGAGGCCGCGGGAGGCGGCGGGTTTCGTGAGCTCCGGGACCGCCGGAGAAGCGCAGCTCCTCGTCTCCAAGAGGAAAGGACACGGACAGCCACCCGCGCAGAGGACCATCCCCTGGCGCCCAGACCCACGCCAGTGCCCTCCGTTGGGTGCACGGAGGCGACCGCCGTGTCCAGCGCACACGTTCCACGCCCCGGGCCCTCTGGGCTGCAGGAGCCAGATCCCGCCCGCCCCGGCTGGACCTGGAGGGTCCTCGGCGGCGTCTTTAAGGCTGCGTTCCCCGCCCCTCCCGCCTCCCCGCGCGTCCCCGCCCTCCCCCGCCCGCTGTCCCCGCTCGCGGCTCCTC